GCAGGCCAGGAAGAGCCAGCAGATGCAGCCCTGGATACCCGGATGAGAGCAAAAATGATCGCTAGTCCAGAGGATTTTGAGTCTGTCTGGGAGGATGAGATCTATGAGAAGGAAACCAGGGGGAAGCCCAGCCGGGAGACAGAGCACCTGCCAGCTGAGAGCACAGAGTTGGAGCCCCAAGAGCAGGGTGAGGAAGTAACCACCAGTGAGCCAGGTCTGCCCAAGCCATGTCAGCAGCCTGAAGAGAGGCAAAGGGCCAAGATTTTGAGGCCAGAGTCTCCCCAGGGAGAAAGCGAGGTGGCCTCCAAGGAGCATGCTTCTGCAGCCTCCAGGAAGCAGGAGGCCAGAGTGCCGGCCGCAGCCACAGAGCTCATTAAAATTAAAGTGAAGGCTAGTGATGACAGCTTGGAGACTTCTGCGACCCAGAGGATCATCTACTTAGGAGATCCAGAGGGAGAGGAGGACAGTAAAACACACCTGCTCTTGGAGACTGGTGGATGGTTTGGCTTGGAAGAGAGACCAGAAGCCACCGTGAACATGTCCGGGGAGGGATCTGGGCACACAGCACCTGCAGCAGAAGGATTCCAACCCCCTTCCTCAGCAAGTCAGCAACACAGGGCAGTATCTGGGAAACCTGCTGAAGCACTGGAGCAGCCCAGGACAGGCTGTGATGGGACCAGCCTGACGGGACGTCCCACCTCGGGGCGGGAGGAAGGTCTGCCCCTACAGCAAGAGGAAGCATCTGCTGGGCTGACAAGCTGCGAAGCACCCAAGGGAGGTGAAGCCCTACTGTGTTCCCCAGAGGTAGGACCAGAGGAGATGGATCTGCAAAGCCCAGTGGGAGGCTTGAAGCCGTGTGACCTGGCAGGGGACGGCCATGGGGCTGAGGAGCATAAAGGGAGCCCAGTACAGAGCCCAGACATCTGCATGGCAGTGGAGGGGCTCTCAGGAAGGATTGGAGCAGACGGCGACAAGGAGGAAAGTGATAGAGTGGTTCTTCAGATGGAGGAGATAGACACCAAGTCGCCTCCATCAGCTGTGCCTCGGCAAGGCCACCTTCACACCACCACGGGGTCGGAGGGGGATAAACCCAGCACTCCTGCCCCTATGCCCTTTCCCCAGCAATCCAGCCCTGCCCCTACAGAGCCTGAGGGCAGAGACCTGTCCCAGGGCACCAGCCCTGTAAGAGGTGTGGGCATACCCAAGGATGTGAACCCCTCAGCAGAGGTGGCACGCAAGGAGGCAAGCCCTGTAGTAGGCAAAGGAGTACCCAGGGGCGTGCACCCTGTAGCAGAGGTGGTAATACCCAGGGGTGCCAATCCTGAATCTGAAGAACAACCCCAAGACATGGGCTTTGCTACATGGAAACCACACCAAGGTGCAAGTCCTGTTGCAGGAGGACCACCCCAAAACACAGATACTGCAGCAGAGCCGACCCAGGTCAGAGACCCAGCCACAGGGGAGGTGGCCCAGGGCATGGACCCTGTCACAGCGAGGGCAATCCAAAGCAAAGTCCCTGCCACAGAAGAGCCACTCCAGGAGGAGCAGCCCATGATAAAAGAGCTCTCCCAGGACATAGGGCCCACATCAGGGAAGCTGACCAGAGATGAAGGCTGTGGGATGGAAGAATTGTCCCGTGACAAAAGCCCTTGTATGGAAGAGCTGCCTCCTAAGGCAGAAGAACCAGAACAACAGACTGAGGCCATAATAAGAGACCTGCCCCAAGAGGGTCCCATGGCTGGAGGGCTGCTCCACAGTGCAGATGCTGAAGCGCAAGAGCCACCCTGGGACTTGGAGTTTAATGTGGGACAAGATCTGCAGGGCAGGAGCCCTACAGTAGGAGAAACTGCCAAGAACGGTGACTTTGCTCTGGGGCAGCCTCCGCAGGGTAAGTCTCCTCCCAGAGAAGCTGCTGATTTCCCGCACTCCCACTCCCCTGTAGCAGGATTGTGTCAAGGAAGCAAGACATACCGGCTCTCTACCTTGATCTGTGAAGGCGGGGGAGAGCTGCAAGCGAGCAGTGGGACACATCAAATAGAGTCTGGGTCGTTGATGAGCATGGCTGGGAGGACAGGAGCTGTGTCCCAGGAGCATGGAGATGTCACTGTGGCCCCAGGTAGCTGGCAGGAGAGCGAGAGCTACAGGAAAACCTCAGTGGCCTCTAAGATTAAGATATTTGAGCAAAGTGAAGCGGAGCGAAGGGCAGCCCAGGAGGGACAAGAGCATGTGCCTGAAGCTGAGACATCAGCAAAAGCAAAGGGGAAAACAGGTCTGGCACAGGACATGCTTTTGAACACAGGCCTCGCCTCACTGCCGGCAGTGCCGGTCACTCCGGTGGGACCTGCGTCCAGTGTGGGCTCCTTGGCCCTCGGGCAAGGGGCTGGTTCAGGAGACACCTCCCAGCGTCTCTCTCTCAAGGAAGATGTTTCTGTTGACCTGGAGCACGAAGCAGAAGACAGTGCTGACCTGGCCTCCCCTGACTCTGGCTGCGAACTCACACTGGCAGAAGCCGTGGTAACTCTTCCAATGAACTGTCCAGACGGAAAGTTCATGCGCATGTTGTGTGGCTCTTTATTATCATGTTCAGTGGCTCCTCACACATCCATTGACTGACAGCAGTCGCTTTGCATCCCCTGTCCTTTTATGTGTGTGTGTGTGGTCAGGCTTATTTGCTGAATGCAGACCCGCTGGCCAGTTGGTTCATCAGCTTTTGTTTTGTGACCCCTCCCTGACATTTTGGCTCCCTGGAGAATGCCGCTCGCTAAACCCGAGAGCGGGCACCCAAGCTTCATGTTCCAGGAGCAAGGAAGGGAGACGGGGGGTGGCTGAAGGAGCTGCGACTCTGTCACGGACACGCACACACACCTAGCAGCAGCGTGCCCACGCTTCCAGCTTCACCCTTGCATTTCTTACGTTGATATCCCTTCTTGCTTAGCTCGCCAGCCTCACCCACCCTCCCCTGTCTTCGGCAAGCTGGTGGCTGGGTGATGAAATAGCTTTCTTCGCTCTTGTAAGTGCTAGATCAGCTCCTGTAGAGTTAATTTCCTTACAACTAACCATTTTCTCTAATCCAGAGCAAATCTCAGGAACCAAGTGGGGAAGAAAAGGATTTATCTGACCCGTCAGTAAAATCCAGCCTGAAAGAAGAGAATTTAAAGACTGCTGTTCCAGTGGTCTTCCAGGTCTCAGTGCTGTTTTACTAACTGCTTCTTACTGTAGTATGAAAGCTCACCTTAAGCAGCTGAGGGCTGTGTGCTTCCAGCTCCTCTCCCCATTGCAGAGCTGTTATGTGTATATTTATACATGCACACACACACGAAAACATGTATGCAGGTGTGTTCCTCTTGAGTTTGTTTGACACCCTGTTTCTCATACCTCTCAACCTCCCAGCAGTGCCAAGGGAAGGTTGTGCCGGCACAGCCTGGCCCATTGGGGGGATGGCTCTGGCTGCAAACGCTTGGACCAGAGTCCGTGAGGTGGGTTTCCTCTGGCATCAGTGGGCTTAGAGCTGTTCCTAAGGGAGAACTGCCTAGACCGAGATGCAAAGTCCAGCAATGGGTCTAGATTTCCCATGGCTTCATGGCAAAGCATGGCAAGGGGAAATGTACCCTCTGATGGCAGAGTTGAGAGGTATGTCCATGTCTGGAGAAGAGCTAATGGAGGGAGGTCATCCCTTGGCTCTGATCATGCTGTCAATTACACTGACCAAACACTCAACCAGGTCATCCCTAAGACTCACCCCCAGCTGCGTGAGGCCTCTGGAGGGAGAGCGTTGTGTCGGTGAGGGCAGATTCATGCCCCGGCGCAGGCAGCCACCCCGGGTGTGCAGGGCTGGTGGGCGGCCCTGGCGGGGCTGGTCCTCCTCCCCCTGGGGCAATGCTCCGCAGGGCCCACGTGGATGCTCAGTGGAATTGGCACACTCCTTCGTTTCTCCTTCACCGTGCGTTGCTGATGGGGCTGTTTTCTTTCAAACTCTTCTCTCTTGCTTTCCCTTTGTTTGGTTTTTTTGAGTGCCCAACCTTAGTGACGTATGATAGCACTGGCGTCTGAGCTGTTTCTGAATGTCTCTTAACAGACCTGTTCTTTTGCATACATCTGCTTCCACCGGGTGCACTGACGTGCCTCCAAGCTGGCCAAGCTTTTCTGTGTGACTGACCCTTTTTTGAGATGATTAATTACCAATAGACTTTTGGCAAAATCAGATTGAATAACCCTTCTCCTCCCACCCCACCCCTGCAAAGTTGCTGCTGTCAGAAAGGTTTCAGTCTCCATGCTTGAGTTGTGTTTGACTCTACTCTGTGATGTTTGCTGCAGCCTTCTTTCTCCTCCTCCTCCTCCCCTCTCCCGCATCGGCACTGCCAGCGCTGCCGCGCCATGCGGTGCTCACTGTCTCCGTCTCTCTCCGCCATTGTGTCTCATTCAGAGAGCGGGCTTGAGGGAGGGCACCGAGGAGAAAGCTAAGCCGCCTCGGCACAGGGCTCCTGAGAGTGACACCGGCGATGAGGAGCAGGACCAGGAGAAAGACTCGGTCTTTCTGAAGGACAACCACCTGGCCATTGAGCGCAAGTGCTCCAGCATCACAGTCAGTTCAACCTCCAGCCTGGAAGCAGAGGTGGACTTCACAGTGATCGGTGACTTCCACGGCACAGCCTTTGAGGACATCTCCCGGAGCCTGCCTGAGCTGGACAAGGACAAGAGTGAAATGGAAGACGAAGGCCTGGTTTCCTTCCAGCACGCTGACAAAGTAGTTCCCGGACTGGAAGAGGATGTCAAAGGCAGCGAGAAGGTCTCCCAGCCCAGCCCAGATGTCTCCCAGCTAGAGGTACACAGGGACACCATTCCACCGAGACTGTCTCAGTGCCATCACGCCTCCATGTTCCTTGTCGTGGTGCCTGGTATTGCCTCACTCATGTGCACTCCCACGTTGGTTTGGAAGAGCATGCTAGCTTTCAAACATCCCCAGGTTCCTGTCTGGTGTAGCTGTTTTCCCCTGATGCAAGCTGTCGTCTGTGTTGCATGGCTCTGTCGCGTTTTTTGTGCATCTGCTAACCTGGAGAAGTCATCGTCATCTCTTAATCCCCTACGTTTGGCTGCCTACCCTGTCCCTTGCACCACTACAGCATGTCAGCAGCTGGGAAGGGCACGTGTCACTAACCAACGGCTCTGTCCTTGTGTTTTGCATGAAGTCAGTGACCAGTTTGTGTAGCGAAGAGAAATGTGCTGCCAGCTAACCTCTCTGGTCATGCCGGGGCTGGGAGGGATTTACAGAGTAGCTTGTGGGAGCTCCAAAGCTCGTGGAGGGTCACTCCTATGACGGGAGTGATTATAATGGGGCTAAGAAAAATGCATGAGGCATGCGTGTGGAAGTTGAGTGTACACCACAGGGAGAGGACGGTAGAGCCAGCCCCAGCTTGGACGAAATGTAGCCTTGCCTCTGCGTCAGGCCAGGGCCATCTGCTGCCCGGTCAGCACTGGGGCAGCCCTCCAGCCCTGGCAGGTAAGTCCCCAACACTGCCTGGAGCTGGCAGGGTGAGTCCAGACCTGGAGCCAGGAAAAAGCTGCAGAATTAGAGGGAGCTTTCTCTGAGCCAGCCTGGAAACCCTTGTGCAGAGCATCCGACGCCGTGGGCTCCAGGGTCACAGCGGGGCCATGGGCATGGGTGATCAGCTCTGCAGTGCCCCATGGCTGGCACTGGGCAGGGGAGGCCGTTGGCTCGGGAATGCTGAGGACTGGCTAAGCATCCCCTGTGCAGGAGCCCTCGGCAGCTCCAGTTCCCTGTAGCGGGGGAGTGCTGGAAACCTGTCTCCATTCCCCCGAGGTTCTGACACCCCGGGTGTAACCACAGCTGCTGGGAGCTGGTGCAGATCATAAACCTGCTGCGGGGCATGAGTGAAATGGATTTGGTGGGTCTCACCCACCTTTTGAAGACCAGTTTGACCTAACCCATGGTGTCTATAAATCTATCCAAAATATCCCTGAAAACCCCAGGGATAGAGCATCAGGTCTGATTTGGGGTATGCCAGTCACACAGGGCATTTTGCATGGTGGCCGTCTGCCCAGGTCAGCAGGCCTCTGTTCTTTGCCCAGGTAGGGGCATGACGCCGGACGTCATACGCGTGTGACATTTGCAGGGGAGTGGGTCAGGGATGCTCTGCTCATGGGGGCTGGTGCACAAGGAGCACTCAGGGCTGTTGGCATCATGCCCCAGTGCCTGACTTGCTGTGTTTCTTCTGCAGTCATCAGCCCCGAAAACGGATGCTGTGACTGTCGGCCTAGGGCCGGGCATGAAGAAGCCTGAAGCAGACAGCTCTGCTCCCCACCGGGTCAGCACCACAGATGCAGCCCAGGTGACGTGGTGGCTCCATCCTCCTGTGGCCCTGCTCCCTGATGGCTCTGCCAAGCCTCAGTCCAGCAAAACCTGTCCCCAGGCAGCAGTGCTGGGAGGGCAGGTGGCTGCGTGGGGCGGTCGGGGGCAACTGCTCACCCTTGTCTTGCTGGAGCCCCCAAAACATCAAACCAAAGCCCACCCAGAGATATTCTGTGTGAGTCCCTTGCCCCATCTGCCATGCCTCTGGGCAGCGCTGGCACATGGGGATGTCTCCAGAGAGTGACGGCCACTATACATGCTGCACCATACGTGTCTGTGGCCTCATGGCCCTCCCCGGCTATCTCTGCCAGCAAGGATGACCACACTGTCCCTGCGAGCGTCACCCCCTCCCTGGCACCTCCAGGCTCATCAGGTTTCCTTTGCCCCGGCAGGTGGAGGGAGGCACCCC